AGCTACAACATTTTTTAGCCCGAAGGGAATTACATTATAACAATATGTTCCATACTTGGTGTTAAATGAAGTCTTTTCCTGGTCATCCGGGTTCATTTGAATTTGATTATACCCGGAATAGGCGCCGAGAAAGGTAAGGATCTCGTGGCCAGCCGTGGGGTCGATCATGCGATCGATGTTAGGCAGTGGAAAAGAATCTTTGGGGCATGCCTTGTTTAAATATTTATTATCTACACACATTCTAAGTTTGTTCCCTTTTTTAGGGACTACGACTATATTGACTAACCATTCGGGATATTTTACCTCCCGAATGGGCCCTATTTTGTGAAGTTTAGTTACCTCATCCTTTATGAATGTGTGCTTTACCTCGGACTGGGGCCTTCTCTTTTGTTTCACCGATTTGAACCTGGGGTCAAGGCTTAGCCGATGCATTATCTCCGGTGGGATCCATGTCATGTCTAAATGGGACCAAGCAAAATAATCTATGTTATCAATAAGAAATTGAATAAGCTTTTTCCTGAGTTCGAGGGTCAATCTCGTTCCCAGGTATACCTTTCGCTCGGGCAGGTACTCGATCAATATAACATGTTCCAGCTCTTCGACTGTTGATTTGGTGACGTTAGAATCTTCTGGAACAATAAAAGTTTGAGGAGTTAGAAAATCCTCTTCTTCTTCTATCCCCTGCTTTCCTGATTCAGTCGAGGCTGATGGATGTGATTGCTATTTGGCTTCCTGTTTACCTTTGATGCTCGACCTTTCCGAGGTTGATAGCGTTGATATTGGCGTTACCTCATCGACCGCAAACATTTCCTTTGCAGCATGTTGTTCCCCGTATACTATTTTTACACCGTCCGATGTAGGAACTTTCATCATTTGGTGGAGAGTCGAAGGAACTGCCCTCTTATTGTGTATCCAAGGCCTTCCGAGTAGGGCATTGTACCTCATGTCTCCTCGATCACGTGGAATACAAATCGAAAGTTTACATCACTGAAAAAAATTTAAAGCAAATGAAGAAATTGTAGGGAGTTATTATGTACGCTTAATAATAAGTTTTGATCTTGCTAAAGAAATTATGATTGATGTCACGCCAGAAAGAATAAAATTTATAACTTATTAATTTTTTTTTTGAATAATTTTATGCATATAATTGTAATTGTATAGACATGAGAGTATTTATCTTTACAAAGACATAAACTAAAAGAGAGAAGATTTATTAGTTGTTCTTTGAGCCAGATGAAATATTTAGTAAATCTTTGCTTTCGATGTGTATTTCTGGAAAAAACAATTCTACGTGTTCTTTTTCTTTTCTTTTTTGTCTTTCTTTTTGTTCTTCCTCAATTTATTTTAGAAATAGAAGACAAAATTTTAACCTCAAAATAAAAGGATTGATAAAGAAAATGAATTCAATTAATTTTGAGGGGCAAATATGAACTAGTTCACTCATGATAAGGGTATATTTGGGGCCAAGTTCAAACCCGGGGCAAATTTATTCTATTTGTCATAGGCCATAGTTGAGGGACAAATCTAAACTATCCCACTAATGGGAAAGGTATGTCTGAGACCACTTTCAAAATAACGGTACAGTTGCTCTATTTTCCATAGCTAAGGGGCATTTTGGCAAAATACATCGACAACCCCTTAAAGTTGTACATATTTTTCACTTAGATACTTATTAAGTCTGTTCTAGTTGAACACTCCAACCACATCTCAAATACGTCATTTAGACACAAAAATTTAAAGATTGCCAAATATAAAAGAAGCTTGTAATTCACACGGCAGAGTGACGAATAAGACGAGGACATGTGGATTTAATTTAAACTATTTTTTTAAAAAAAAATTTTTATGTTTTTTAAAAGAAAAACAAAAACCCCACCCATCCCTTGTCTTCTTACAGCTTGTTTGGATGGTTGTTACATATCGTTTCATAATGTATCGTATCGTATTGTATTGTACGGTACTGTATCGTTTGATGAATATAATGTTTGGATGGATTGTGTCGTTTTGTCGTCGTTTCATGGTATCATGCACTAGTAATATGATAATAAACTTGCAATATTATGAAGAAATATTATGATACGGTATATAGAAAAGGTAGGGTAAATGATAAAATAAAATTATTTAATAATAATGAAGGGTGAGATTGAGAGAAAAAGACAAGGTAACGATGCAACCACACCAAATCGGTCGTTACATAAAGTGGCACATTTCATCGTTACGTAACGACGAATTTAACCATATCAAAATAAACATTGTATTTAAAGTAACAATACAATACAATACAATAGGTAACAACCATCCAAACAAGCTGTTACCCACGACCCCAACCCCTGCCACCATTCTTCTTCCTCCTAATCTCCACCCCCCAAGTAAATATCAATGGCATCATCGACTCCGATTCTTTCTTTCTTTGATGTTTCTGAAGCTTCCTGCACTGATATTGTCAACAATGTTTTCAAGCTTTTTAATAATTATTTTAAAAAAAATTTTAGTGGGCTAATTGGAGAAGAGAGAATTTGATTTGAGAAAAGAGCAAATAAACGAAGAAGAATAAATGTTTGGGATTTTAGGGATTCAACTTTATTCTCTTTCTGTTTGGTGAAATTTTGGATAAATTTATAAGTTTAGATTGTTTAGTAGTAGAATCCAAAATAAGGTATTTAATGGTTTCCGTAATTTGGGGATTTGAATGAGAAGAGGAAAAAGCAAAACTGGAAGAGAACGGTCTGTTGAAAATTGCTGAATCGATTTCTTTCACAGCTAAATCCCAATCAAATTCCTATAGGAAATAGCAGTGAGAGTAAGAAGGAGAAAGCAAAAGAAAAACACACATAGAGACAGAAATAGAGGGAGAGTGCTTACATCGCCGGCGATTGTGCGGAGAGTTGTGGATGGTGGTGGATTGGTGGAGGGAGAGAGAAGAAGGTGGCGGACCTGGACGATGGTGTGGGAAAGAAAGAAAAAATTAAAAAAATTTGATCTCTCACGCCCAGAAATATAGTGTAATACACACATTATGCCACATCACCAAATTGTGTCTATATGACACATTATAGCTATGGTTGGAGTGCTAAAATGGAATGGACTTCAAATTGTGTCTATATGACACATTATAGATATGGTTGGAGTGCTAAAATGGAATGGACTTAAGATGGAGTGTCTATATGAAAAGTGTGAATGACTTTAAGGGTCTGTCGATATAATTTACCGGGCATTTTTGGTCCTTTCTCCTTATTTATAATCCTAGTATATTGGACATAAAAATCAGCATTCAATTTGAATCTGAATAATATAAATAATTAAAACTTTAAAAAGTTTCACGGATTCTCAAACGCAACAAATTATTGTGTTGGACTTTTAGCTAATTTGATGCGTAAAATGATAAAAATCAAACTCAAAAACATCCCTCCTTCATGTAATACACTGAGGGATTGTTTGATTTCTAGACTATTTGTGAATTGGTACGAGTCAAATAATAGTCAGTACTATTATGTAATGTGCATATTGTATATGGAAAGTTAATATAGGGTTTGTTAAGAAGATTTACATACTTTAACCGTATTTTTGTTTTTAAATATTTTTATCTAGATGTTGTTGTGTACAAGTTTTACATTCTTTATTTCAGGGGCAGAGGGAGAGTATTACTTATGGGTTCGGACGAACTCAGTAGCTTTTGTTTAGATATGTATTTGTATTAAAAAATCTATCAAATATATATAGATATTTAATTGCGAACCCGGTAACTAACGAGCTATGGGTTCGATTACAAATTCAGAACCCATAAACTTTAAATCATGGCTCCTCATCTGCTTCATTCATAATCCACATAAAATAATTAGTATATAAATTACATTAAACTTATGCCTATATTAATAATACGAAATGAACTACCAAAAATCAAGCATTGCATCGGTTGCAAAAATTTGTCTTATAACAAAGAAATTTATATTATTTTAATGTTCGGAAAAGGCCTAAAAATGTCACTCAACTTTCAAAAATGGTCTATCCATGTCATCCGTTAAAAAAATGCTCATTTCATGCCACTGCCGTTACACATTTGGCCCATCCATGCCATTATTGACTAACGGCAGTGGCATGGATGGGCTAAATAAAAATTGAGTCGTTAGTCAATAATGGCATGGCTGAGTCAAATGTGTAATGGCAGTGGCATGAAATGAGCATTGTTTTAACGGATGGCATGGATAGACCATTTCTGAAAGTTAAGTGGCATTTTTAGGCCTTTTCCGTTTAATGTTTCAAAGTCAACTTTGTTTAGTTAAGCAGAATCTCCCAAGCAGGGCAGAGGTAGAAGTTCAGTTATGGGTTCGTTTTCACCTGATAGCTCTTATTCAAACAGTATACCGTGTGAAAAAAATTCACGAAGCAGAGGTAGAGGTCCATATATGGGTTCGATTAAATCCAACAACTCTTACTCAAACAGTATGTTATGTTAAAGATTTTATTAAATAAGTCCATATATTAAATGTAGTACCCATTTATAAATATTTGAAGTCGGCATTTTAAAAATCAAAACTCATAAAGTTAAAATTCTGACTCTTCGATTTTTAAGTACCTATTTTAATTTAATGAGGATAATCAGACCCAAGTTTAAGGGCCCGTTTGGCCATAATTGTTTTTTCAGTTTTTTTTAATTTTTTTTTACTTTTTTCCAAAATTAGTTTGGCCATAAAATTTTAATTTTCACTTGAAGATGAATTCGATATTTTTCAAAAATTAAAAAAACTTCAAAAAACTATTTTTCAAAATTTTTACTTCAGATCACTCACAAAAATTCAAAAATAACCCAAAATTTATTCATGTCCAAATATAACTCTAATTTTCAAATACTATTTTTACCTAAATTTTGTTTTCATTTTTTTTGAAATTTTATAATTCTTATGTCCAAACGCCCACTAAATCATCAAAAAGAAAAGCAATATTTTCAAAATTTAGAAGCAGGCCTAAAAAAGAATGTACAAATAAAAAGCGTTCAATCCACCGCGCATCTTAGCACCTACTCTGTACCCCGAACGTTAAAACCGCCCCTTCTCTCTCTCTCAATTTCTCTCTTTGGCTGCCTTATATATATAAACACTGCTTTCCCTACAATTTCACATAAACTAAAGCCAACACAAAAGCATAAAAGATTAACCAAGTATTTGAAACCCTCTTCATTTGTTCTTCTCATGTTTTCCTGAAAGAGTTTTTCCGGGAAATCAAAGTGAAAGAAATAGGAAAAAGAAAGAACTTTGTCTTTTGGTTTGAGAAATTTTTGTGTCTGTATTGCTACAGGGAGCAATTTGGGGTTGTGGGTTTGTATGCAAATTGGAATAGTTTAGAGACTTTTTATTCATGGCGATGGGACCAGAAAGATCGAAGCCGCCTCTACACAATTTCACCTTACCTTATGGGCTCAAGTGGGGGAACCAGAAGTTCTTAAGGTGCGCTAAGGTTGAATCCGACGGACAAATCTTCGCCGTTCATCGCAGGTCATATGGGTCTGAGTTGATCGGACGGCGCCGATCAAATGATCGGAAATTCAGGTCACCGGAAAAAGAGGATGCCGGTGAGGGAATCGGAGCTGTGAGAGAGAAACTCATGTTTGATCTCCAAACAGAAGCTGATAAGATAAAAGACGCAATTTTTAGAGAAGGTTTGGAGGAGCAACCGGAGAAGGAACTGTCTCCGGTGCCGGTGAAAACGGCAGCTGTATCATATGCCGGTGAATTGTCCAGGCCGTGGAACTTGAGGACTCGGCGTGCGGCTTGTAAGGAGCCTAATGGATTCGTTGCCGGTGCCGGCGCCGGCGGAAGTGGTGGATCGAAAGGAGGGTTGAAGATTGATGCTAATAGAACTAATGCTCCGTCACCGTTAAGGACGGAAAACAAATCCCCGACACTTCGAAGTGATTTTGCCGGTGGAACGGCTGCCGGAGCTTCTACCAGCGGTGAGAAGAGACAGAGAGTGAAGTTTTCGGTTCCTCTTCCTCGAGGAGAGATCGAGGAGGATTTCATGGCGATGGTGGGACATAGACCCCCTCGTAGACCCAAGAAACGAGCTAAATTTGTTCAAAAGAATTTGGATGTAAGTCAAAAAAATTCCTCTCTAAATTGAATCTTTTGATTTATGATAATCGGACTAAATAGATGGAACAGATATAAAAGATTGTAATTTGTGCATAGCAGTAGCTGTAATTGATAATCATTTTGATAGTGAATTTATCTATTTTGCAGACGTTATTTCCGGGGTTGTGGTTGACGGAAATTACACCTGACTTATACAAAGTTCCTGAAGATCAGTAGATTGAAAAGGTAAACTTTCATCATTCTACTTTATAAGCTATTAAGGTGTTTGATTTGAATATCATAATTTTTCTCAATGCGAGTTTGGAAGCTAATCGCGATTTTGATGTTTGTTTCTGCAGATGGGAAGTTGGAAGCATGTTTTTTTTTCTGACGAAGGATTACATTTGTGACTGATTGACCAGTGTAGTGGTTCATCTGAATTTGGAAATTTTGATGAAATCATTGAATTTCCTCAGGTAAGAGAAGGAGTATAGAAAGGAGAAAGTTTTGTTGCTCTGGTAGATGCTAATTCTGTTAAAATGATTCGATTTGTTCATAATTTTCTTTGTTTATGTTCATCAGAATAAGTTTAACATAGTAGGTAAGTTCTCAGATGAAAGACAATTGTTCACAATGTGAGCTGAATTTTTAATGTTTCAAGTGCAGTACTTACTACCTTGTTCCCGTTCTTCTGTAAATTCAATTGTTTGTATTCATATAGCAGTAGTTCTTCTTTCTTCTGTGTGATTATCCGAGTCAAAATATTTCCTATCCGCGCATGGTCTTCCTCTTCAATCTTAAGGAATTGTAGTAAAGTTCTATGAGAGATTTCAACCTTCTCCTGACTTGTTAAAGGGCAAGTAAATGTTGCTGCCATTGTTTGCCTAATTGGCTGCATTGTCATCAGAAATCTGCACTTTTTAGCTGAGTAGTTACTGTAACTAATGATGAATGTCCAGTTTGATCTGTCATTTCTTGCATTTGAGTTGATATCTCTTGAGTCACATGTTGTAAAATGTAATACTTTGATACTTTCCAGAGTGATGTACTGTTTGCTAGTATAAGAGTATCTTACTCAAAATATTTGCAAAGGTTTGGGAGCTGTGATTCTCTGTCCAGCTGATTTTGAGTTAGTTTCAAATTGTCATCAACCTTAGGAAGGAAATGCTTAACAGGAATGCTGGAAATTATGAAATATATGTTTTCCCATGATAGCACCAATGCAGTTTTTTTAAGGATTATTATGTTATGTTGATTAGGAAAAAAGTGTTGAAAAGGAAAGAAATCTACTTCAGATTTGAATGCATGATTTTTGTAAAGCCAATGAACTTGGAACTGGAAGCATCATTTCTTTAAAATGATTAGTATATTTGCTGGTTAAGAGGTCTCTGTAAAGTGTCTTTAGAGTATATTTTATCAAGAACTTAATTTATATATATTGGTTGTGTAAAGCTTTTTTAACAATATGGGGTCGTTCGGCAGGGTGTATAAGAATAGTGCGGAATAAGGTGTATTAGTAATGTATGGATTAGTCATGCATGAGTTAGTAACGCAAGCATTAGTTGTGCAGAATTGCAGATATTATTTCTTATCTACCGTTTGGTGTGGTGTATTAAAAATTATAATGCATTGCATAATTTTTAAGAAAAATAGTTGTTTACAAAAATGCCCTCCATATTCTCTAGATTTAAAGGACTTTAAGTACAATTTGTCTTTAACCATACTAATGCATGCACTAATAGCCTTGGTATTACTAATGTCATGGTTTTCTATGCATTATTTATACATAGGATAATACCAAGTATGATGTATTAGTTATACACATGTTGAAAAAATATACCAAATAAGGTATTAGTAATGCACGGAGCTAATACCCTATAAGTATATTTTTTTACCTATGATAGCGAAGTACTTACTTGATTTCATATGTTCAAATAAGGTTTATAATTATCTGTTGTTATAGGTCATTTTTAACCTGTTAGTGACTCAGGCTCAACTTTGAAAGCATTAGCGGATTTGGTTATTTGGTTTGGTATGGATGGCTAATTGAATCATTTACGTAGACCATTCATTATTGACAACATTATCCTACTTTCTTGTTTATGCAGTGGAAGCTGATAATCTATTGCAAGCACTTTACAATTAAATGGGTAAAGAACTACCAAAGTGAAATGAATCGTTATACGCATTGTCTTTTATACGACAAAGAAACTAATTACTAAATTAAATCAAACAAAACAGCAATAATTAAGTGCTGATTGAGTACAAACAAGAATAGTTGTTGAACTATCTTAAAATTTTTCAAAAAAAAAAACACATTTTTTATTTTTCAGAAACTTTTTTTCCTACTTAGCGCAAATAGGGAAATTTTTTCTGTACCTTAAATAGTTTTTCGTTTTTTGAAAAGTCTGAAAAAGAATAAATTCTGATGGCGTTTGATTGAAAAAAGAATATATTTTTTCCCAATTTTTCCGGCTTCCAAAACAAAATAAAGAAAAGCATGTTCCAATTAAAGAGCTAAAGATAATATTAGCATTTGGTGGGAGATGGGCATTCATATAAAGGAAATTGTTATAAAATAATAAAAGAAGAAGAAGAGTATTGTAGAGAAAAGTAGAGGGAGAGAAGTCTTATTGATTTTGTGATGAATTGCAATGGAATAGAACCCTCTATTTATAGGGAGAGGGTGACTTAGCCACCAAGTAATAAATCCTAGAATCTCTCTAAATATAGACATTCACCATAAATAAAATTCTATTTATAACACTCCCCCTGAATGTCTATTCAACAGATAATGTGCCTCGTTAAAACCTTAACTAAAATAAAACCCAATGGGAAAAAAAATCTAGAAAAGGAAAAAGAGTACACATATCTAATAATACGCCTTTTGGTTGCCTCGTTAAAAACCTTCCAAGGAAAACCCAGTGGGACAAAACCTTGTAAGGAAAAAAGAGTACAACGCGTATTAACTCCCCCTGATGAGAGCATCAATTCACATCCTTGAGCATTTGCATTCCAATCTTGTGCACCATCTTCAAAAGATCTTTGGTAGAGATTTGATGAACAAATCAGCCATATTAACTTGAATGGATATATTGCACCTTGAAATCATCATTCTTGATAGATATATAATGTCTTCATATAATGTCGTGGAATGGCTCTTCAATATCTCCATAGAGATTCTCGCTATCGTATTATCATGCTTATAATTATAGCAAGATACATATATGCACAAATTGCACTGAGGATGTGGTACTTCAAGATCAAGAATTGTATATGCTTCAAGCAACTTAAATCCTTCATGGATTGTCGAATAAGTTAAGTCATATAAGCCATATAATAGACTTCAGATGCATATCAAGTTTTCATGTCATGCTAGACATATAAGATATCGAAAACTGATTGCACATATCATTGACTTTATACTTTCAAGTGTTTGAACTACATGTTCAAAACTATATGTCTTTCATATGAAACCAATTCTATTCGAAATTGTTTCTCCAGACTTAAGATCCTCATATATATTTAGTGGTATCATAGATGTCATCGACGAACATTTTATATCGGTTTCAACATTTTTCATAAAGACATAACATAGAGATCTCTTCATTCATATATTCAGGTACCTGAATCTTTCATGAGATTTAATGAAGTGTTATGTCATGTGATCTTCTAGATCACTTGCCTCCTTTATTATGATCATTTTGATCATTTGCTCATCTTCTTTATTAAGAAGTTTATTTGAAACCGATTTGTCTATACGCTTCAAGCGTACTATAGACTTTGTCCTTCTAGGACTTAATATGAGCATTTGCAATGAGAATATAGTTACTTTCTTTGGGTCAGCAAATGCGTCTGGCATGCTTTGTAATATATTGCAGATGAATTATCCTTTATGAACTTCAAGTTCATATTATCTTATTCGAGGATCTAGCTGTATAAATGATAATTCATTCCATGTAACCTTTTCTCAACTGTTTATCATGTCTCCCCCTCATGTTAGAAAAACTAACTTGTTTCCTCAACTTTGAGAACCCATCTTTGTGTGTTATGGTGTTAATCAAAATATACACCGCACATCAATAATAATAAGATGGAATTATTTGGTTCTTGACCCTGAACCAATTGTGAGGGGAAAAAATAATATACTTTGGTATATAATGTATATCAAACTGATATAGAAAACTTTGTTCTCATAAGCAATAGTTTAGTTATTAAGTGGAGGCACTCAATAAATTATTTTGCTAAACCAACTGTGATGTAAACCAACTTATCAAGAAGAACTATCTTGAGTAAAAAATCTGGAAATTATGCTCTATATTAAATTATTAAGCAAGTTACCTCGCAAACACCAGGTTGCGGGTCAATAATAATTGCACATGCAACCATCTCATAGATGCATCTTATGTGGTATACATGGCAGGTGAATGAGCCCATATTCACCTTTGATATTTCCAGCATTCATGGGATTCAATCCCAAATTTAATTGGTCTATTAATTAATGAGAACAAACAATGTAAGAGAATTCGTAAAGAACTTTCTAGTTCTTTAATATTTACCCATGTGAATTCTCTTTTATTTTTGCACATCATACTTGAATTAACATGGCTAAACCAATTATGCCAACTGAATAAATTATCAATATTGATAAACTTCAGGTTTACACCATGATGTGTGCAATTATGAATAAACTCCAAGTTTATTATGATATG